CCCACATGTTGCACACTATACTTTTTCTACGACTGCACATATTCAAAGAACAATGTAACTCAATTTTTATTTTTTATGGGTTATAGCAGAACTAAAATAACATAACATAATAACAAGTTTCCTACCTCTTAACAGTTGAATTATTCATTTGAAATTATAGTTAATTGTGAAATTCTTACAATTTTGTATGGTCAAACCAGGAAAGTCATTGTTTTTGAGTAAATTTTCTGTTATATTAATTGTAGAAGTAGAAGTTGAAGGTTGATTATTTATGTACAGTGGTGCATTTTCTGTCTCCATTTCAGTGAATAGTTCTACTGGTTTTTCAATAGAGTCGACGATTTTATTTGCAACGTCCATTTTATTTTTAATAGAGTCTCCGACGTATCCTTCTGCCACGGTACTGGATTGCCATCCTCCATGGCGCTTTAAGGTTAATATGTCACCTCCTGCATTTACTAAAATTGTTGCCGAAGAACGTCTGAAGCAGTGTCCTGTATATAAATGGGGATTTTCCAATTTTAAAAAAATTGCAATTCTCTTTGCCATACTACCAAATTTGTTGATGCCGACTACTTGTCTAGTACATTTTCCGTTCTGGTAATTCAAGAAGAAACGTTTTTCTGCCAAATCATTCGGTCGAAGAGCGGCATATTTTTTATATATATTATAAAATTCCCCCGTTACAGTGAAAGTTCTTGGCTTCTTTGTTTTGGTGTTATCTAATTTCACCAACAAAGCCGAATTTAGATCCTCTAAATCATCGACTTTTAATTTCCACAGTTCATCTCTACGACATGCCCCTGCTACGCCAATAGCCACTGCAACCTACAAATAAAAATATCAGGATGTAAAATCATTTATATAATATCCCTGGCCGGGTATTGAACCCCGGGCCGCTAGTATCCTAAGCGGAAGCACTACCACTACACCACGGAGTAGTTATTAAAATATTTATTCATAGGCATATACTCATCTTCCACAATATGAAATTGACTTTTTGAAGATTATCTAATTATTTTTACCTACTGAATACACCCACTAACTATAAAAAGCTGTTAATTCGAGGAAAAAAGCGGAAGAAATTCGAAAAATAGTTCAATTTAAATAATAAACCCACCTTTATTAGTAGATATTCCTTGTTTGGAGCTTCTTTTAAAAATCTCTGCAATTGGTCGGCTGTTAATATGTTTGATTTCTTTGGGAAGTAATTGTCAGACTTTCTTTTCAAAAATGCACGTAATTTTTGATACGTGGATATATCAATGTTATGTTTAATACTGATGGTACTTTTCAACATCGAATATTGTGACCAAAGTGTTGACGCCTTCAAAGTTTTCGACATTTCTTCGAAACTTCGAAGTATACCAAAAGTACACTTTCCGAAAACGATTTTATTTTCGTATTTCTTCTCCATTCCATGAATTTCCCATATGCCAATTCATACTTCTTTCGGGAAATTTCCGGCAACAAATCTAATGTTACTTTTGCCGCTTGTTCCAATATTTCTGGTGGAGTATTGTCAAAATCGTCACTGCTTTCATAAGTTTCCATATTATTTACCTATCACTGGTACAAATATGTATATTATGTCTTACTAATATTCAATGAAATTGCGATTTTTTATCGAAACACGATTGATAACTACCTCAAAAATTGAAATAAATTCTGTTGACAGTTGTTCGTGACAACAGCGGCCAACTAAGTTTTTGTCGATTTTAGTTGATTCTCCATATAAAAGGTACCTACTATGCGTGGTGTTGGCAAAGTGCTGTGAGAAATAATATTTCTCACAGGTATGAGCAATTCGTGGTTTTGAAATTGAGTAAGCCATGAGAATTACGCTACTTTTCATAGCAGTCGTAGAAAAAAGCTTATAACGTTGTTATTCCGGAATGCGAATTCAAATCAGAGCGGGAGAGTGCGTAGAGAACTGTACTTGATTGGTCGGCACGGACCTTGCGCAGACATGCGAACGTCGACCGCCATCGCCAAGCCACAGATTCTGTAAACTTTGCCACAGCCGTCTTCAGAAGACGGCTGCGGCCAAGCCGTTCACTTTCGCTTCGCTGTTGCGGCCATGATGACCATAACAACAAAATAACAATACATAGAAGGCCATCATTATCATGTTATTCGGCTATCTATGTGGTGTGGTGTGGTGGTCATACTTATTCATATTCATGTATCAAGTAGTAGAATTTGAGGATGGCAGCATGGTCATTATTTTAGACAAGTGGTGTTTGCCGAAAAAGCAGAATGTGAATTGGACGCCATTGAAGGAATACCATAGGGTTCTGAAAAATCTCTCGAGTGCATCATATCCGAATGGGATAAGTTCCAAATAAAAGAACATTTTATGAAACTGGTATTTATAGTACGTATACCTATAAAATTATTTTGTATTTAATGTGGAACATCAATATAATTATACAAAAAAAATCTTCTCTGATAATATTGATACAACCCTAATACAATAGTGTTGTTTTCACCTACAGAAAATTTCGAAATAGCACAAAATAAACTGAGACATGCAGAAGATTTCAGTGATATGAATAATCGTAAAGATCACGTCATTTTGACGCCATTAGGATGTCGTCATTTTGACGCCATTAGGATGACGTCATTTTGACGACATGAAAATGACGTCATTCGTCTTTGACTTAGAAGGTCATATAAACGTCATTATGACGTCATTTTGTAAGTCATCCTGACGTCAGGCCTGACGTGATAATGACGTACAAATGACGTCAGCTTGTTACCTGGGAAGGTTAGTTTAGTTCATCGTACCAGTATATCACCTGACGAAGCTACTGTGTTAGCGAAACATGTATCGTGTCTTTGAGAATTTTGTGGAAAGCTTATCCTTTATGAAGTTTTTACATTTGCCATGGAGTTCCATCAAGTAACGGCCAAGTCAATTTAAAAAAAAAGATATTTTCAAGCGGGATACTTTGAATGCATATTTTTTGCCTTCTTGAATCAACCCCCTAGATGAGAGGGGGTAGATGTTACACTTTGAAGCTCACATGGAAAGCGGGTCAAGATGCACATCATTTCGAAGGGCGTTCAATTCTCTTTCCAACAGTATTCTACTTCATCATTTTTTGACGAGCAGTTTCCGAAAAATGACATTCTGAACTTTCTGAAGTGATTACAACATGCCTGCACTGAGATGCATGGTTTTCAGGTTAGTATTATAGTATCGACTCTATCCTTCCAGTTCAAAATGTTCCTACCATTTGGAATCAATACCTGGTCTATAATGCAGCTAAAATATATAACCATCTTCCGAGATGTTTCAAAGATATCCAATCAGATGACAAGTTCAGAAAGTCTGTAAAGCAAGTTCTCATTGAACAGATATTTTATAGTGTTCAAGACTACTTTGATAAAGATATGGTTCCAATAATGACTTGAAGTTGATTCTTGCTATATGTTCATCTACTAGTTCCTGGTAATGGCTATGGTTTTCAATTAGTATAGTTTCGATATATGTTTAATCATTTAATCTGTCATTGTTCTGTTAACGTGTGACGTTTCTCCACCTTGGATCTATTTATATATATACATGTTTTATTTCATTCATGATTATATTATTCCTGTTGAATATTGAGCCATAGGCATATTTTTATTTGTATTCGATGATGTGTCTGTTCGTCGATGGTACCTACGTTTGTGTTTTTATATTTATTTATTATGACTTTGTCTATAAGATACTCATCTTCCGACAATGAAGTATATTGTGATTTGATTTGACCTACTAACCTGAAAACCATGCATCCCAGTGCAGGCATGTTCTAATTTTTTCTATGAGTCTAGAACGGCATTTTTCGTAAACTGCTCATCAAAAAATGATAAACTAGGGTAGTATTGAAAAGAGAATTGAACGTCTTTCAAAATAATGTGCATCTTGACCCCCCTTATCATATGAGGTTCTAAGGGTAACATCTACCCCTCCTAGGGGGCTGAACCTGAAGGCAGTTTGATTGTCTTCATAGAAAATGAATAAAGATATTAAGGGTGGGAAGTTCTTTAATTGACGGCTTTTTTCGGAAACTGCTCCACTGAAAATGATAATCCAGGGTACCGTTGGAAAGAGAACTGAACGCCCTTTAAAATGATGTGCCATTTGATCCCCCTTTCCATTTGAGATTCGAAGGGTAACATCTAACTCTCCTAAGGAGTTGAACCAAGAGAGCTAAAACTAATCATTTCAAGTGTCCTCTTTGAAAATAAAATCGACCTGTCTTTTCGATTTTTCATATTATTTACTGGAAGGAAGATATTGAGGGTGGAAAGTTTTCGACATGTAACCCTGTATACTTTTTTCCATGAATACAGGGTGATCCACGATGGATGGCCTATTAGAAGTATCTGGAGAACCAAAAGACAGAACATTCTGAAAAATGGGATGCTCTGATAATTGAACATTCTCTATCCGTCTAAAATATGTTCATCGACACAGTGTTGCCACTTCTACCAGAAACAACTAGCAACTTTATTATTTCAAATGGAACACCCTGTATTTTATTGCATTTTTAGATTCTTCCTGAAGAGCTGATTTCATCAATGCATCACACTTCCTGCTAGACCCCAAGTATGATACATTGATGAAATCAGCTCTTCAGGAAGAATCTATGAATGCAATGAAATACAGGTTGCTCCATTCAACATAACTAAGCTGCTAGTTGTTTCTGATAGATGTGGCAACATTGTATCGATGAAAATATCCTAGACGGATAGAGAATGTTCAATTATCAGACCATCCAAATTTTTCAGAATGTTCTGTCTTCTCGTTCTCCAGATACTTCTAATAGGCCATCCACCGTGGATCACCCTGTGTATCATGACAGATATCAGTTTGAAATTTTATAGATTTAATGAAGGGATTAGTTTGCAATAAAACATGTCGTTACTTGCCGATCGACATACAGGGTCGTAGATATTTGAAGAAAAGACAATTAAATGTTGGGATCGTGACGTCACGAATAACTCACCTGATTCTTATGAAAATTGTGATGAAGGAATAATTCAGTCAGGAAGAAGGCCACCAAGGCATTCCCTCCGAGAGCGGCGACGTGTGCTCGTACTATAGCTAGCACTTCGGTCACGAAACTATGTAAGAAACCACTGAGACCACCTTCCTGAGGAATAAAAAATAAACTGCTCAACATTCCAACAGGAACACTATGGAATGATAACTCACCTCACGTATAGAAGTCGTTTCTCTGATGAAAAAGAAATTGAAATTGCCTAAATATTTATCAATACTAGCACCAGGTACATAGGATAAAGGTGTTATGTCGACACCATGTCTTTCTTTGTGCGGAGTCTGAAATATACAGAGTCAAGAACGAATTCGGAGCTTAAAATACTATATTCTTGTTACATGTCTGTGTTTCACAGATTGTTGCCTATATTTCATCGGCGATTTTTGCTTGAACTTTGAGCTTTTGTTCACAGAGAACACACCGTTTTCTGGAATATTGTCCTCGTCTAATTTGAAAATCATATCTTCATCTGAAACAAAATATGTATCATTTGATAGAATTGAGTTGCCATCAGCCGTATTGCAAAATGCATCTGCCAAGTAAGCTCTAATTGCAAGATTAATAATGCAATTAACCTAATTGACAAAATGATAAAGCAGCAGTCAATAAAATTGAAAAATTGGCGTTGCAATCAACCAAATAACAAGAAGTATCATCGAGTATAGATCTTGTAACTATCGAGGTAACTATAGTTGGGCGAGTGGACTGATACTGAATTATTGGCATTCAATTACTCCACTGTGTCGTTAGGAATTGATTTTTGCAACACTTCTCCCGCTTTTTTTATGTGAATAATAAGTCTATGCGTTGTTCAAAATCGTTGAAACGCCATGGCCGCCCTTTGGCGATACATCGAATAAATGGTGACGTCAGTTTTTATACTGTTTCGTTATTGGTCAGATACTCTTCCATTTCCACTCCTGAAGCAAGGTCGCCAATTCACCAATTTTAATCAAGTTATCAAAAAGATGTTTGAGTCCAGGGGCCGTATTCTCGACAAGTGAGCTTTTTGTCGTATACGCATCAAAACGAATGGTTCATGTGCGAGTACTTTTTCGAAGTGGTATTCTTGACGACCATTCGCTTCGCAAAACGTATACGCTTGAAAACGTGCGATCGTGATGCGATCGGAGCATCCGGCACCACTGCAAAATTTCACGAAAATCATGAAATGGTCCGTTGATCCACGTTGTGAATATGTGAAAAATTCCGCGCGAATAAGCAAATTTTCTTGATATGTTTTATAATGCATATGCTGTGTTAATGAATCAAATCAATCTAAAAATTATTCACAGATGAAGTGGAAATGAATAATTCGATCAACAGGTACATATAATATACTATTCTTCATAATAATCCAGTAAATAGAGATTCATCAGATTAGAAAACCATAAATATACAGCGATAAATAATAATAAATAATAATGTATAATAATCAGTATTTCCAGCTTCATGTAACCTCCTCAGCATTGTTTGGATATTTGAACTATTCCATATATAAGCATCATTTGTACTACCAGGAAACCAAATTCACATTAATAATTTTCAAATTGGAGTCACAAATTAATTGTACATTTATTAAATGATAGTTTTTCTCTATTTACATAGATATTTTCAAGATGTTCATAACCATGCACTTTTGGAGGAAGAATAGCTATATGTGAGTGCAGTCAAACAGCTTATTATTAAAAATTTTGAAAAATCAATTACTGTGAATCTACTCTGTTCTTAAGCAGATTCAACTGGTAAATATTGGTAGGAAATTTGACGAATCTTCGGAAAATTTCAACTTTGTTCCAGAACCTCAACGATTTTGTTCACACGTCTTGAAACATAAGACTGGGACACAGAAAAATTGAAATTGCAGCTCATGTGTATTTGCTAACATTCTCATGCAAAAAACCGTAAGGAAACTAACACAGTGAACAGCATAATGTGTATCACCTATGTGAAAGTTGGGTACCAACTTTTGTGGAGATACCCAAATCTCTAGCACGATGTACAGGTCATGTAATAAAATCAGAGGTAATATTCATTAGGTATTGAACCTATTCTTTGGAGAGGCGAAACATTTTGATAAATTGGTTGTAACCCAAATCATCAGAGTGATTTCCACGCTACTGTATCTTCGCCAATCTATTTGTTCCGCATCTTCCATCACGTCAATCAACATTAACTGTACAAATTTTCCATCCATTATGTTTTGATGTTATTTACTATTCATTCAGATGATATGAAACTCAAAAAAGATTCATTAGAGTCCAAAATGGTTCTCCAATATAAATAATCAATAAACATACTCAATGACACACGTCACAAGTCAACAAAACGAACGAAAACAAACGAAACAAGTGAAATAAAGCGCTCGCTGTAAACGCTCGCTTTGAAAACGTACACGCCTCATATTTCACTGGTCAAGAATACCAAAACGTACGAAACTCTCGAAGTGCGCATACGCATCAAAAGTTCACTCGTCGAGAATACGGCCCCTGTCGTTGAGAAAAACATAATTGGAGGAACTCATGACATTATTGTTCATTCTTGACATCGAACAACCAGCAGTCCAAATATTTCTTATTCTCCATAACAAAACATCATGTGAATGTTGGCTAGGCTAGAGACTTGGCAATGCTGTGCTAAACGCTGAGAACTGACAAGACAACGCCCACAATCCCAAATCATCATATGCAATAAGACACAACATATGAGAGAGAAAATTACAAGACAATGAATGTTTTATAGCTAATTAAGAATATGCCCAATACATAATTGAGGATTTATGAATTATTAAATAAATAATATTTCTGAAGTTCCCATTCGTAATTCTTCTTATGGCAACTGTGCTACTTGCGCAATCGTGACGTCAATTTTTAATTGCGGTAAATTTCTAGTCGTTTGAAAATTACCGTGGCAATATTGATGATTTTAGCACCTTAAAATTAAATAAACCAAAAAAATCTAAACAAATATGGAATTGAAAGGTAATTGAGTAGATTCTATTTGAGAAATAACAAATTAGTCCACCCGCCTATTGTGAAATATAATAGACTTATCTACCGCTGACAGAACCTGGTCTATATTATAACCTCAATTTACCTGTTCGTTTCAAAACAGATGCCTTTCCTTTCCTTTGTTTCTTTCCCAACCCCAAAGCCATCCCTGCAAAGAAAAATATCAAAAAATAGACCTCGAACAGAGAATGGTTATATTTATACAGCAAGGTAGTAAAGAATATCATTATTACCCAGGGACAAGATCCCGAGGTGAAGATATTCTTTACTACCAAGGTGTATATTAAAGTTTTTTCACCACTACCAATAGATGTCAATCATTATACAGGGTATTTCACGACAAGCTTACACTATATCTATATCGAGAATCAGTCGGGAGAAATCCATGAAAATATGCATGCTTATATTTTAGCATACGCTCTCTTCATTTGAAATATTTTCAGCAATGCAGTGTTGCCGCTTCTATAAAAAAATAGCAACAACATTGTTATTTCAAATAGAATACCCTGTATTTTATTGCATTTTCAGATTCTTTCTGCAGAGCTGATTTCATCAATACACCACACTTGGGGTCTATCGGAAATGATAACAGAGATATAGGGTGCTCAAAATCGAGATTTTTCAATTTTAGGATTTGTTTGTGTCGAAACTATTCATTATCGACTCACATGTCCCTATCTCAACTTTCGATTTACTATTTACTGATATTCAATCGGGACAGATACAGGGTGACCAGAATTCTGAATCTTGAACCAAAAATGTTGTTTTATTTTTTTTGTTTTTCATTGAACCAGTATTTCACCTGAGGAAGCTACTGTGTTAGCGAAACATATCGTGTGACTAAGAATTTTGTGGAAATCTCATCGTTTGTGAAGTTTTTACATTTGCTATGAATTTCCATCAAGTAAAGGCCGAGTCAATTAAAAAAAAATCAATATAGGAAACTTCCCCAGCAAACATCGAATCTCTGGCCGCCTGAGCTGCAACGGGCGAACGTCGGCCCGTTGTTTGGTATATTGTAATCGTTTATCCATAATCCAGCCAGCACTGGACCAGTAGTATCAAATCGTGATGTCATTTCACTACGTCGTCTAAACATCGGCCCTTTGTATGTTATATTGAAATCATTCAACTATAATCCAGCCGGCACCGCGGGCCAATAAGAAGCATCCGCGCTTTACCAGAGTTCATCATATGATATTTGGGTCGATTCTGTTTGCAAATAACAATGTGGCTGTCAAGAAGATATTGCTATCATAGCAAGATTCGAAAAAGTGGAATTCTGATCATTGATTTTTGACAATATGATCTGTCAATTGCAATGACATCTTGTTAGCTTTCTTGCTATCTCGGCAACATCAATTTTGAGCTTGCTGTCTTATAACAAGGTAGAAAATGGCAGTGGATTCTTTGTTTGTGCACTACAATTTTTCCAAGTGTTTGAAAATTTTGAAAATAGGTGGTTATGAACATATATTATGAGAGTTGGCTTGTGTGACTAAACTAAGTACCTACTTGAAAACCTTTCCTTAAAGTTTCGATTTGCAAAGGAATTATTGAAAAATTTAGAAAAAAGGTGATTATAAACATAGGTTCACTTGTCTGGCCAATTACTTGACAACCTTTCCTTGAAGTTTCAATTTGTAGAGAATTCATATGCGAATACAATTTCGGCATATCATCAGAGAAACCAGCAAATCCTTTGACTTGTCTGATGGGAAGATTATCAAGCGATTTGCTTCAATAAGCCAGCAAGGCTGAATCGAGTTTTTTTCCAAAAAAATGCACGATCATTTCCATCAGTCTTTTGGTTGTTTTCCTATTTCGGGGACATGATTGATTTCTTGCACCACTTGCACAACGAAGACCAAATTCAGCTTCAGCAAATACAAAAAATCTGTCAATTTGAATAATGTAATGTTGAAAAATGTCAGTGCAGGACAGACTAATTTAAGAGGTTAGATATAAACTCTTCTTCATAAAATAATGGCAATAACAGTACCTATTACTTAACGAATGAGTTAGAAACGGTGTTGTCAGCTCAAAAATTCTCCAATTCCCAACAATATTGCTATCACTTAAACTAATAACCAATCTTGCAGTTTCTGTCCAAACAGAATACAGAATAGCCTAGCAATGTTGCTATACATTATGATCATAGCAATGTTACAACAAGATCCGAACAGAATCGACCCGATTACCTACCTACACCCTCTCCTGTGTAATTTCGATGAAAATATATCTTTACTTCATGATCAAAAAACGTATATGTAATGAAATAGGTAGGTATATTCTCATTATCTTCTAGTGCTACCTACATAATATGAAGTGATCCTTTCGACAGTGATGGACAAATAGTAAACGTCAATTCTATTATATTACTTCTCGTTCTTCAACATTCCCTTGCATAGGTATCCGTTATTGGCTCGCTGATAGATAAATAAACCTATCACCTAATGGAAACATCATATTTCACTAAGAAATTCAAAACAAACTCAGGTGAGTCACAGAAACTCGTCTACTTTAACGGAGAATTAGAAATTGTTCTGTTATGATATAATTATTATAAGTATTCATTGATAGTACTCATAAGTCATCCGTAGTCAATATCTAACAAGAAGTAAAAATGGCCTAGTTGGTAAGATCCCGGCTTCGTGAAATACCTGGGAGTCAAATTGGACACCCGTATGTCATTCAGGAGAAATACCAACTACCTGATACAGAAAACTCAGAACGCCATAAAGAAAATGTATCCACTGTTATCCAGGACTTCCCCTCTATCACTGGAGAAGAAGGTCCTGGTATACAAACAAATAATCAGGCCTGTAATGACATACGCGTGTCCGGTGTACTGCAGTATCCCGCCTACTCATATGAATAGGTTACAGGTGCTGCAGAACAAAGTACTCCGTATTATCACCAACGGTGATAGATACTCTCGAGTGGCAGATCTCCACGAGAGATGTGGTAATTTGCCAAGAATCAGCGAATACATCCTGAAAATATCAAACAGATTCTACAAATACCACATCGCTGGAAGTGACCTTACCCGGAATATCACTACAGTCAGAGAACACCATAACATCCGTAAAAAGCACGGGCTGATATATGCATCAACCGATGTTTTTAGGGAACCTGAGAATCTATAGTCGGGAATCTTCCCGGATTCTCGGACACGTCCGAGACACCGGGAGGGATCTAGACAACACCATCTCCCAATCAAGCAAATAAAATAGTGTCAAAGCTCACGAGCAAACACGGCACTGAACTCGGACAGATGTACAAACACGGAAACGTGGAGGTCCAGCTGTCGGAGCCTAACTAGAAGGTGGTTTTTTGTTTTTACATTTTATTTTTCCTCCAAAAACCGGAAACACTCCCTGCACTGATCACGTATGAGCAACTCCCCCGCCCCACTGGGTACCCACAGTGAGATTACCTTTATAAAGGGCCTAGCCCTAGGAGATGGGTCACTGCGACGAACACTTCACAAATCCTCTCACATCCCTTGGCCAACACCAGCCACCTCTGCGTCACGCGGAGGGACATCTAGGAGCACTATATGATGCTCCAGATCATGATATACACGTTGTGATTGTAAATTTGTGATGTAAATTAATAAGATAAAGGAAATAAACGACTTTGATACCGGCTACGTAATCCAAAGGTTGCCGGTTCGAACGCGGCGACCGGTCACTTTTTTTTTTTAAATTAAGGTCTAACGGCATACAGACATCGGTCCGGCCGTCGGCCAGAGTCAAGGTCTATTAACTTCTATAAGGTTACCTCATAGTATAGCATTATGGTGCGGGGGTGCGCGGAGGGGCGTGACGTCACTGTTTCCCCGCCACGTGATTGTAGATTTCGTTGTGTCACTGTCAAATGAAAATGGATTGAAAAAATTTTTGAATTTGAATTCGAAAGAATCGCGAATTTTAAGACTTTAGTTGAAAACATGGTGACAAGAAGACTGAAGATATCTTTGAAAGAGGGTGAGAGGTTGTATAATAATATGGTGTAGTATTATTCAAGGCTGGTCACATCATAATCAATCAAGAGTGGATATAAAACATGTATAGAACAAACAAATGTTATAATATGCCTTTTACAATCATCTGCTCTTGGGAAGCCTCCACATGAGATTCAAATAATTCCAAAGGAAAATGATGAGCTGTGGCAATGTAAATGTCCCTGTGAAGCAGGCATGTAATGGTTTTGTAAACACATTTTATAGGGACTTATATTGACAGGTAGGAAGGTGCACTTTTGATCTATCACACACAGGTAAAAAATACATGGAATTTCAGGAATGAAGACTTGGAATATGTGAAGCTGCATATATAACACACAGAAGTGGTGAAAATAAAAAAGAGAGTAGATGAATCAAAGATCTATTATACAGCAAAACCATTTCAATAGTTCTGCTACCCACTTAATAAAAGAAGGAAAGTGACCCCCTAAAATCATTCTCCTTTTATATAATTCAAGTTAATTTTACAGGGTATATCAGACTATTTTGTTTTCTGTTTGGAAGCCAATGAACTCAATGTAAACAACTATAGCTATTGCATGGTACTCAGGAACACAGGTGAGTTTATTAAATTTTAACATACCATATCATGAAAACTGTATACTTTCATTAATTTTGAATTATTTTGGGCTATACTTGCTACTTCATTTTTACATGTAGCAAGGAGACTTGGGAAAAAGGGCAATCAACTTCTTCTTTCCAAAGGATTTTTCAAATAAATTTGTTCAGCATGGAGTTGAATATGAATCCAAAGCTCTTTCAAAATGTTCATTGAGAATAATATTGAATTTCAAGTCATGCAAACAAATTTGTGTCCCAATATTTTCCATGGTTAGGATTTTCTCCATATGAAATTATTTTTCAGGAAGGAAGACCATGGAAATAATTGAAAGAAGTGTCCTTACTGAGGTCCTCACATAGAGGTTTGTTAAATAATGTGTATAACATTCAGCTTAAATTATTTTCTCAAAATTGTAGGTAAAGATCCAGAACATTTTGTGGAACAATGCCATTTCTTGATAGGAGATGGTATAAAAATTGTGAAGTTGGAAGAGAGACACACTTATTATGGATAAATTCAGTTGGGAATAATGGTCCTAAAATGTCCTTGATGAACTTGAAAGAAACTAATTTTATTGTATAATTCTTCTTTCTCCAAAACTTACATACAAATTTCAGTTAATTTTATGAAAAATTTTGTGTTAATCTGAGGAAGATATCTTGAAGATATTTTCATTATGTTGCACTTTTATTGCATTAATAAAATGGAATGAATTGTGATGACTTCTTTATTGGTTCATTTTCATTTTCAAACAATAATGTTCCAAATTAATACTGAAATAAAACCATTGAGTTTTAGAATCATTCAATTTATCCAGAAGGAAATCCTCTTTAGTTAATTGTTTCTTGTTTCTCAGAAATGATGGCCTTATCAATTTCAAGCATTTCTCTTCACATCCCTTGTCAGCATGCCCTTATCCACCATGATTCCATCATTAGGTTCAGACTTCCCAATAACATTTTCCTTATTAAAATGCTTCATCAGTAGCTCAACCTCCATATCCTTAAATGCCAACAGTAATCAGTCCTGATGGAGTGATATTGCAATAAGAATCTGACTGAGTTTCTGTAATGTGTCTGTACAACAGGAGCACTGAGGAACATATCTTTCTAGATTTCTGTTTTCAGTCTTTTGTACTTGCTGCATGTTTTGGGAAAACAGTGAACAATCTCGTGGATACAAAAACAGATTGGAAAATTTCAAAATTTATCAAAATTTACTTGATTGCACAATGCTAAATTTTTTTGTTTTGTTTTTCACCTCCGCCATTTTCATTTTGCCGTTCGACAAAAGACGATGGGGAAACAGTGACGTGAGGCCAGGTCAATATGAGGCAACCTTATAGAGTTAAATAGCCTTGGGCCAGAGTGACCTATAGACGTCTGACCGACGTCGTTTGCCGCTCTTTTGCCGCGTCGGCAACTTATGGTAAGTAGGTTTTGGGCCGACGTAATAACGACCGAAATTGTTTTCTGGGTCCCCATTATGTAACTCTATTTCCTTACCGAACACCAACAGCTGCACCTCATCGCCCTCGGGTATCCCGCAAATGAACTGAATATTGCACAAGGCACACGGCACCATTCTCCTCAGCTTGAAGTAGACGCTCTGCAGCAGCTTGCGGAAGTGCTCGTCGATGTTGAGCGTCGGATGGAACTTGAACCTGCGGATCTGCGTGAACATCTGCAGGTTCTCGACGATTTCTAAGTCGTCGAGGCCGGGGATGGATTCGGTGTTGACGACGTGGAAACCGTCGGGAGGGCGGTCTTTCATTAGGGAGAGAAGGACCTCCTCGTCCTCGGGATCGTCGACCTTTCAGGGAACGGCGATATACAAAGTTGGGAAATGTAAAAACTTCACAAACGTTAATATTTCCACAAAATTCTCAAACACACGACATGTTTCGCTAACACAGTAGCTTCGTCAGGTGATATACTGGTACAAAGAACTAATCTAACCTTAAAGATTAAAAGCCCTAATTTCGAGTGACAATGGAAAATGAAAAAACTTTCCATCTTTATCATTATATGTATCTTTTCGGTTGAGTAACCGACAAAAATTATGACTTGACTTCTATGTATGATTGCCTTCGGACATTTCCGTATACAAGGAAAGACAATGGCAGAGGACGAAGGGGGAAATATGGAGACTGTATAGTACCATCCTGCCAGCGATGCTTCGTATAGTGCATGATTTCGTTTCGAGTGACTTCAGGAATTGGAATGATTCTGCCGCCTGGTGTGATGAGAACTCGACCTTCCTGCCGATTGATCGACGGATGACCCGTTAGCTCAATTGGCAGAGCGTTGGGCATGTAACCCTGAGGTTGTGAGTTCGACTCTCACACGAGGCGGTGTAGTTTTTTCATTTTCCATTGTCACTCGAAATTAGGGCTTTCCATCTTTATCATTATATACAGTCTGTCCAAGGTAAGGTTGCACAGCATGGGGATCTCGGAAACGGTAGGAGATACGGAGTCGGTTAAATTGGGAAAAAGTTGCGCATTCGGAGGCTCATACCAACAGCCTTCGAAAATTTTCAAAATTGTTTTAAGTTTTCCAGTTATATCGAAAAAAGTGAAATTTTGGAATATCTATTTTATTTTTTTTCTCCGTTATAATTAGAGATACAGAAAAACTGAAAATACTTTTTCATAGCAACTTTTGATGACGTTTAACGTGGTGATTTTTTTATGCGACGTTTCGTATTCGTAGAACCATCACCAACTTTTGTTTTTCAAATACGGTCCTGATAATTCTTTCACAGATTCTGAAAGCTTTTTTTATTATGAATTCAACCATGTATTGAACAAGCTGGTTTGAAGCTGTTTCGACCTATTTTTAGCCATCATCAATGTTTTTTTCGAAATTCCAAAGGAAAAATGCCATCAGTTTCATTTATTTCTGATTATTCAGTGTCAAACATTGATGGACTAGTTATTCAATACTGAAAAGTGAAAACAAATCCACTAAATTATTCAATGCAGCGCTTCGAATTGTTTATGAGCTTGTCATAATTAAATTTTTCGAACTTATTATTCCTATAAGTCTATCAATCGGAACTAGTTGATGAGGTATTAGTTTGGTGGCTAATTTTCCTTCAAAATAAGTGGAACTGATGGCATTTTTCCTTTGGAATTTCGAAAATACATGGTTGAATTCAGAATGAAAAAACCTTTCAGAATCTGTGAAAAAATTATCAGGACCGTATTTTAAAAACAAAAGTTGATGATGATTCCACGAATACGAAACGTCGCATGAAAAAATCGGTATCACCACGTTAAACGTCATCAAAAGTTGCTATGAAAAAGTATTTTCAGTTTTTCTGTATCTCTAATAATAACGAAGAAAAAAAAAACAAAAATTCACTTTTTTCGATATAACTCAAAAACTAAAAATAATTTAAAAAATTTTCGAAGGCTCTTGATATGAGCCTCCGAATGCGCAACTTTTTCCCCATTTAACCGACTTCGTATCTCCTACCGTTTCCGAGATCCTCATGCTGTGCAACCTTATCTTGGACAGACTGTATATCTTTTCGGTTGAGTAACCGACAAAATTTGTGACTTGACTCCTATGTAATCTAACCTTGGCTTGCTTAAATTTGATATATTCTACTTTCCCAACCTGAAGGATTAGTTACCTGTGAACAGGTTCGATAAACCTTCATTTCCGGAAATTAGGCACAATATCTACATTAAAGTATGGCGTACCGGATTAACTTGAAAGGGTTGGGATAGCAAATACATATTATTTTCAACAGTGGTGAACTATTGAGGTCTAAATTCTTGTTAAGTAAAATGTCCGAATTTTTGAGTTTGTTGATTTCTAATGATTCAAAATAATTGAGTTTCATTCCTTCATTTTCTACGTGTAGAATTTCGAAATTATCATCAAAACTATGGTTTCCTTCTAATATACAGGGTGGGCCACCAGTAACGCCTCGGTCTCTAGAAGGCTAACCACTTATCTTCTTGGAATTCTTCCTCTCTAGGGAGTTGCATGTCAACATAGGCTACCATTTAAAATTATCTCGAAACATACAGGGTGTCCCCAAAAACCATAAAACACTGAAGTTGAACTTTTTTCTATCGAACACCCTATATATTATTTCATTTTGAGATTCTCCCTGATGAGCTGATTTCAAAGACCCATCATACTTGGGGTCTAGCAGTTATAATTACTGAAATATAGGGTGTGAAAAATCGAGATTTTCCAAGTTCAAGAATTTTTTGCGTCGAAACTATTCATAATTGGTCAAAACGGTTTGATTAACTATCTACTGATATTTAATTGGGACATATACCGGGTGATCAAGATTCTGAATTCTGTACCACCCTGTATTTGTTTCAATTAAATGTCAGTAGATAGTTGATCAAAAGTTGAGATAGGGACATGTGAGCCGTTTTGACCAATTATGAATGGTTTAGACACAAAAAATTCTTAAACTTGGAAAATCTCGATTTCTCACACCCTATATCTCAGTGATTATAACTGCTAGACCCCGAGTATGATGGATTGTTGAAATCAGCTCACCAGGGAGAATCTCAAAATGAAATAATATATAGGGTGTTCGATTGAAAAAAGTTCGACTTCAGTGTTTTGTGATTTTTGGGGACATCCTGTATGTTTCAAAATAATTTCAAATGGTAGCCTATGTTGACATGCAACTTCCTAGAGAGGAAGAATTCCAAGAAGATGAGTTGTTAGCCTTCTAGAGACCGAGGCGTTACTGGTGGCCCACCCTGTACATATGCTTAGCGTATATTGAATTTGTTTTCCTTTTAAAAAAATTCAAGATGTCTTCATTATTTTTGATAAACCTTCCTAACGTGTTATTCGTTCTATATGCTACTTTGAAGTCCTGTTTATGTAGAAATGAAACAAATTTTTTAGTTGATGATCCGAAATAGGTTAAAGTTCTATAATTTTGATTGGTATTCTTGATGGTAGGATAAACTTCTTGAATAGCCTTATCATGAAGTTTTTTAGAAAGAATACTATCTATCAACTTAACGTTGTATCCGTTGTTGACTGCAATCTGTTTTATGATATTGAGTTCTTTATTCTAAATAAATGAAATATCAACGGTATACAAACTCAACTGTGGATCTTGTCCTAAGGTATATATCGGTCAGACAGGTCGTACGTTTAATCAACGCATTCATGAACATAAGATCAATTTTTTGCAATGGAAAACAAATTTAACATACGCCAACCATATATTAGAAGAAAACCATAGTTTTGATGATAATTTGAAAATTCAACACGTAGAAAATAAAGGAATGAAAGTCAATCATTTTGAATTATTAGAACTCAACAAACTCAAAAATTCTGACATTTCACTTAACGACCAATTAGACCTCAATAGTTCACCACTGTTCAATTTGTTTTCTTAGTAGGTAATAATATGTATTTGCTATCAACCCTTTCAAGTTAATCCGGTTATTTTAATGTAGATATTGTGCCTAATTTCCGAAAATGAAGGTTTATCGAACCTGTCCACAGGTAAAGTAGGATATATAAAAGTTAAGCAAGCCAAGGTTAGATTAGTTCATTGTACTAGTATATCACCTGACGAAGCTACTGTGTTAGCGAAACATGTCGTGTTTTGAGAATTTTGTGGAAATCTTATCGTTTGTTAAGTTTTTACATTTGCCATGGATTTCCATCGAGTAACGGCCGAGTCAATTCAAAAAACAAGGTTGGAAGGCGGCGGATAGGCTGAATGACTTGCAGGGAAGGGTCGGTTGAAAACGACAGTTTTCGATCCTTCTTTGTAACGTCTTGACCCTTGTTACAACCAAAATCCATATTGTGTGGGGATTTTTTATATTTGGTTAAGGCAAATTTCAATATTCATTTGTCCATTTGTCAATTCTTTTTATTGGTAACTAGCTGACCCGGCAAACGTTGTTTCGCTATATGAATTTTTTCTAGAAAATAATTTTTTAGTTAAATATTTTTAACAACACACTTATTATTCCATCATTTTCTACTTCTTTCACTTTGAAAAATTGTAAGTACATTAGGTAATTTATTGGAAAAATTGTGACATAATTCTTGTACTAAAGTTCGATTGACAGATGGATTTTATAATTAGTCTTATTGTTTGAATAATCTTGCACTTTGGAAAACTTCTCGATATATATTGCAATCGGGGTGATTGTGCCATAAAACTGAGCCGAACTCACATTACCAAGAGGATTTAAAAATTTTCCCAGTAACAATATCTGTTTTGCAATATTCCCAGTTGGAAAATTAATCTTGTGATTATAGTCTACTAGCAAGGTTGATCTTGCACTAAATATGAAAAATCACAAGTTATTTTCTAATTATGAAACTTGCAAAATTAGTTTTATTGACAAATTGATCTTGCAACTGGTCTTAACACAAGATCCACCTGGGGATATTGCAAAACAGATATTGCTACTGGGAAATTGTTTAAATTATCTTGGTAATGTAAAGTTCGGCTCACAGTTTTATTGCAAGAGTATATTGCAATTTCTGATTCTTTCAATAACGAAAAGACTGATAATGGCATGTAACAGTCAAGGGTAGGTGTGTCCTATGACGTAGAAATGGATCTATTCTACCATTGTTTTAAATAATAGTTCTCCTGAGAGTTATTCAGTCTGTTTCCTTTTTGGATGGCCTCTCTGTATAAGCGATCAAAATAGACGAAGAGGAATGAAAAACTCGAAACCGTCTCTACAATTCTAATTGCTAGAGGAATATTATCAATTGGTACATGATTCGGACTTACATCAATGTCCTTCATCAGCTGAAATGAAGGTTAAGTTCTGCAAAAAAACTCTATCACTTACACACAATTTTTTTCATGACCCATTTAATTTATCTAATTATGAATTGAATCTGTGGGGACAATTTCGAGATTTTCTACCTGATTCTAAAGGATTGGATCAACATTATATGTACCTCCAGAACACAGCAGTCCTTGTTTCCTGAAGATAAATCCAACGATGATGGTTCATCTTCAGATTCTTCGTCCGACCAAACTTTACAATTTTGCGTCTCATCCTAAACAAATTAAATGAAATGAAAATGAGGATGGCCACCTTGAAGTAACCTCAGCCAATGAGAGATTAACGAACATTCCTTTTTTATGCCCAAAGTCACAAGGAATTTGAATATAATTTTTCACTCATTCATGTTTTTTTAGGCATAGGCAACCACAAAGATACTGATGATGAGTCAGGTATTCATGAATTGTACTGACTGTAATATGAAATATATTGGGCAGACACGTTGAAACATAGCCAAATGATTCAAGGAACATATTGCTCACTGCAAATATGGTGAATTGAACAGTTTGGAAAGTATTTACACCGACAGGGATCAGTTAATGTATCGCCAATATATACAATAAGTCTCGGTAATATTTGCCGAATATCCGATAAGACAGAGTGAGCTATTTTTTTTTTCATATTCAATGTACCTATATGACAAACTGCCAAAGGCTATAGTACACAAATGTAAATTTCTCAAAATGAAATATCGGAACGTTTGTGGCAACAGTGCCGTCATAAGGAGAGATTTTTTTGTCAAAAATTGCATGAGAGGTGGACATTTCATCAAAATACAAATGTATCAAGAAATATTCATGAAGATTGGCGTGATGCAAAATTTCGCATTTATGTTTATCAGGGTAATCTTCATGAATATTTATCTCGATACAATAATTGTATTTTGATGAAATGACCACCTCTTATGCAATATTTTGTACATATTTTTGACAAAAATCTCTCCTGATGATAACACTGTTTGCCAAAGACGTTATGAGATTTCCCGCTGAACATGTAATGTTACAAAATATTGCCAGAATATAATGTAGCTTTCTTTCGTAATATGAAAATACAATATTGTATCAAGTTTGCTGCTTCGTTCGTGTTAATATAACAGAAAGACCTGCTGACAAATTGTTTGTGAGTTACAAAGTGACCCTTTCATTTTAGTTTCAATAGCAATATTGCATCAACTATATATTTTCATTATAATTGTAACATTACATGGACTATCTACAAACAATATCGGTGCAACATTACACAGTGTGTCTTACTTCTAATGGAAACACCGCTGTATCTTACATAATTGTTGGTTAAATTTGAAATTTGTTGGAGCGCGAGATATACAAAAAATGCACTTTATGACCAAGTGAGGTCATCTTCGTTTTTGGGTGTATGATAAATTGATATTCAACAGCCATGGAACCACCCCAATTTCTGGAAAATGATATTAGGAGTGGAAACACCCTCGTAGTAGTAGCGTTGAAATAAAAATAGGTGAAGAACAGGTTGAAAAGGTTAACAATCTCAAATATTTAGGTCTCATATTGGATGAAAATTTGAGCTGGAAGCACCACATAGATCACATAACTGAAAAAATGTTACCCATGGTTGGAGCACTATTTAAATGCAGGGAATATCTGATCACTGAAGTGAAATACATGATCTACAACTCATACTTTCTGTCGATCTTTAGGTATCTGATCGTAATATGGGGAACATGTAATAAAACGTCATTTCAAGAAATGCAAAGATTGCAAAACAAGGTTATTAAGATATTATTCTCTATCAACTACTTAACACCAACGAATACTGTATACGAAACAACAAAATTAAACAAACCGAATGAAATCCTAAATTAAGATCAATGTAAACACACATACAAAATAGTAAATCGCAAACAAAAAACTAATATAAATTTCTTGAACCTCAATGAAATACATAACTATAACGTAAGAAATCAAAATAACATATACCTTCCAAATATTCGAACAAATGTTGCACTAAATAATCCTATGAATACCACAAGCATTTAAGGAAATACCAAATGAAAAGTTATTCGTTAAGGAAATTAGAAAGTACCTGAAAAATTCTACTGTATAAAAATCAATATTAATTCTATGAATTACTATATTTCCATTGTACATATAGGACAGAATGTTTGCAATGTATAGAGTATGAAAGTTGAAAATGTGTGAAAGTATTGTATGTATTTATACCACATTGTAATCAAATCCTAAAAAAAATTTGTTCTAAAATTTGTTCTATCCGTCATTCGGTTGCCCCCTTACGAGCAACCCTCAAAAGTCTTCGAAAGTCTTGTGCGAGCAAGGAATGACGGGGGCCTTACCTTTTAACGTGTGATCCCAAACACTTTCTTGGGCCATCAGAAAAATTTCTGCAGTCGACGGGGATCGAACCCACGACCGGCAAGCGAATGCGAATTAGAATATAGACACTCTGTCCGCACGGCTACCTGGCCACCTGATTAAAGATATATTGCTTAAAAAAAAATAAAAATCTTTACCGATAAAAATGCGTCATAATATGGGAAGTTAGTGAATTGGACGTCCTGTTTTCGAATCCGAAGTGAGTTTTAACCTATCTCTTGATATTATTTCAAGAACATGTGTGTAGTTCCACGGCTGTTGGCGAGCAGTGTATAGCACTGAAGCTGACCATACTTGGTCATAAAGTACATTTCTGGTATATTTCTTGCTTCAGCAAATTTCAGGATCCTAACCCAACGATTACGTGAGATACGGGGGTGTTTCCATGAAAAGTGAGACAAAAATGAAATTTTCAGAACTGAAAATTTTCCAGGAAAAACATGAATTGTTAGTGAATTGGGCGCCAGATTCCGAATCCGAAGTGATTTTCAACCTATTTCACTCCTAATATCATTTTCCGGAAATCGGGGTGGTTCCATGGCTGTTGGCAAGCAGTGTATATCACTGAAGATAGCCCCACTTGGTCTTAGAGTGCATTTTTGCTATATCTCTCGCTCCAGCAAATTTCAGGATCCCTACCCAACGAATACGTAAGATACATTATAAATGAGACACACTGTACAATGCAACTAACGGTAAACTTTCAATTGCAATCTTGCTATGGGTGTTATATATTTTCGGGAAGCGCACAGCATCGTTGCTTCAAGTATGAAAAAATATACAGGGTGTTCCTTTGAAAAAACGTAACTTTGGGTTATATCTGCATAATTATAGCTTATCTTGAAAATCTGACCACGTCACTGGATTCTACGTGAACAAATGTGTAAAAGGCAGTTTTTACTTTCTCGATAAGTTGAAAGATAACTGATTCCCAAAATATAAGATTCTCAATTTTGCCCTCTATCTCTAAAACGGAGCGAGTTATAAAAATTTTGTTTGCGGTATCGTGAGTTTCGCAAAAAAATTTCCAACGTTCGTGAAAACCTCAAATCCCAATGTTTGAAAATAAGTGATATATCCCGTAAGGAAATCGAAAATTGGACAGCCTGTACAATGTTTGCCGTTTTCAAGGCTGTGTCTCACGGTCCAACAATTTGATCAAACTACAGATCTATGATGTCATAAGTGACGTCACGTCCAACAGCAACTGAAATTTAGAACTTGTTCTAAATATTTGTCATGTTGGATCAAACAATAAGGTTAGGATGTTTGTTTTCATGTTTTTTTCATTGATTATTATTTAATATCTTAGGAATTAACAAGAAATACTATCAATAATATTATCAATACTTCAAGAATCGGATAATTATAGGAATATTTTTGTCTTGCTCCAATCCCAAATTTATGCTTGGGTAACTAGAGACTTTGTTATGATCTCATCTCATTTCTGCAGGTATACGTTCACGCGCATATATGGATTGATAAAAATCTGAAACATCTCCCATCCATTCTTAGGTAGTTTTGAAATTTACTATGGGATATCTTCCAGTCAGACTTCATCAAAAATCATAGGTAGGACTCCTCTACCAATATTTCTTCTTTGAAGCCATTATCTTGTACATATCTCCCTCTTTTTTTGAAATCACTTATTCGTATAACAAATACAACACAAAATACTTACCATATAATGAATTCTTATTTAATTTCTCCTTATGGTTTTTCTCATTTTAGAGAACCTACTTGACCAATATTTTTGTTCAAAAATCTTCAAATCGTGTGACAACGATTTATTGACATTTCAAACCATTTGAGTCAAACAGACAAGAATGACGTCACATCAAACAAATTTGATCAAATTGTTGGACCGTGAGACACGGCCTTTACTCATCGGAACACTCACATCGATTTGATAAATTTCCTTATTCTTCTTGACCGTCTCGTTCAATTGCTTCTGCAGCATAACCAACTTGATGTCGTCGGCCATCTCATCCGAGATGATTTTAGGCACCGAAGGGCTCGGTAGGGCGGGCAGAAAAACCGCAGTGCCGGTGGCGACAGCGATTATCATTTTCTCCCCTACCGTTATCCGGAACTTCAGTCCGAATATCGCGTTCATCCCTTTGATTTTCAGCTTGTTGATCAGGAGCCTGAGTGACAGAATATACTTTTCCTACAACTGTCAAAAAAACTGCACCTTTTTCAATATATTTTGTGTGCCTAAAGTGTACAATATTACTATATCAAAATACTGTTTCATTATTTTACGGAAAAATGTACAATTGAGTGAAAGAGGCCCATACACTGCGAGTGCGCCGCGTTGCAGCCACATCTCGTTGGAGCCACATTTCGTTGCAGACACATCTCGTTGCAGCCACATCTCTTTGGAGCCACATTTCGTTGGGCCCACAGTCTCCGAACGTACCCGAAAGCTGCGCTGTTGCCACAAGGTTCCTTATTTTAGACTACTTTTTTAAAACCATCTAACCTTACTCAGCCTGAATGAACCTTCTTCCTAAAAAGACAGTACTTTTCAGAAAGGAAAATATCCCTCTGCATAAAAAAGGACACTACTTTTTTAAACCAACTAACCTTACTCGGCCTAAATGAACCGTCTTTTCTTATTTTTAGATGACGCATGCGCTGTAATATAGTTGCGCTCGCAGACTGTCATTTATTTTATTTTTTGGCTTCACTTGGAGATCCTTGTTATCCGTATATGTTTAGTAGGTATATGGTAGTCACCTTGCCAATTGAAAGTGTGGGCCCAACGAGATGTGGCTGCAACGAGATGTAGCTGCAACGAAATGTGGCTCCAACGAGAAATGGGCCCAACGAGATGTGGGTGCAACGAAATGTAGCTTGAAAGAAACGTGGATTGATCAAGATGAGAGTGTCTCGTTAGGGCCACAATAACCTTTTCAGTATAATCGAGATTTTTGAATTATATGTGGGAACAGCGCATCGTTCGGGTAAGTTCGGAGACTGTGGGCGTAACGAAATGTGGCTCCAACGAGATGTGGCTGCAACGAGATGTGGCTGCAACGAAATGTGGCCCCAACGAGATGTGGGTGCAAAGAGATGCTCCCTACACTGCGTCGTTGGTAGGCTGTTTTGTTCGACGAACAAGTTTGTTCGAACAAAAATGACGCAAAACCGAAGTGTGTAGCTGCAAAATGCAAAATAATTAAACCTCACTTTGAATACTGCTCTTCTATTCTGTTTATGTGTCATGACACAGATGTCCAAAAATTACAAATTCTACAAAATGTTTGCGTTTTCTTCTGAGGTGCAATAGATTCGAAAGTATAGGCGTATGCAACTACAGCTTCAGTGGATGTCTGTTAAGAAACTTATAAAATTTCGAACGCTGATTTTCATCCATAAACTAGTCAATAATATGCTTCCTGAATACCTGTCAAGGAACCTACAGTTCCGGTCTGACATTCACTCATACAATACCAGTCAAAGGAACCATATACATATACCTATAAAAAACAAAACTTATGAGCACTAAAAGAAGCATTTTTGATATGGTAATTACAGCTTACAACAAATTACCTAATGAATTGAAATGTTATACTTTGGGAATATTTATAGTAAATCTGCAACAATATATTATGAACGGCAATTGACTCAACCCATCTTTCTATGGTGTGCTAATAGTCTTCATTTCATTTGTTTTAGCAATTTTTGATGATTTCCTTATTTTTGTGTTAGCCATTGTGGTGTTTCGTGACTCACTATTTTTATCAATCTTATACTTACTTACTTGTGCTTACCATAATGTTATTATTTATATTATTATTGTAATCATTATAATCAAATATCTGTGTCTGTATTTTTTGTAATTTGACTGTATTTGTGTTCCATGTATTGATTGTCATAAACTAGTCATTGACTAAATAAAGGACATACATACATACACACTTCGGTTTTGCGTCATTTTTGTTCGAACATACGAACAAAACAGCTCAACAACAGCATCAACAATACAGTCTATGGTCTCCTTTACGGGATTCAGCAAGGCAGCAAGCGAACAAATCAAGGCGGCCGACTTCGTAATTCGTATGGAGAGCCATCGAAATAGAGATGGGAGCGAAATGAAGGCGCCACGATAACTTCGCGAATTAGATAATAATATGCACGCATCTCATGTATGATTTGATCAGCATCGCTGAACGCGAGCGAGATGATCGATTTATTCAAATTAGCCGAAGATGGTTCTGGCTATTTGGTCCTTGGAAACCTGGCGAAGAAGATAATTTTATTGACAGAGTAAGAGTCAATGAAGAAACATGCAGGTGAAAGTGCGCCGCTGACAAGTTCAAATGTCCTCAGATTGAAAATTATATTTCTTCCAGAGTGATAACAACTCCATTTCAGTGTATACCAAGGGGAAGAGGGGGGGGGGGTAGGTTAACTGAGCAGGTGAATGTTCTCCAGATGTTTTGGGATGTCAACTACTGGTTGAGTGGAATTCTGACTCACACTCAAGCGAGAGTAGGGATGGTATAAATTATATTCACCCCGAGTAGCGAAATTATGTATATCAGAGTTTTTTTGGATATGTAGAGACAGGGCAATGGTACGATGCTGAATTTTTTAAATAGTGGTTTACAAGAGTCCAGTGGACGAGCCTTGTCCATACAGCGAATGACTCTTTTTTGAACAATAAAAATGCGGTTAGTATATGCAGAGTTACTCCAGAAGATCAATCCATACTGTAGCCTAGATTGTACCAGTCATAATACAAGAGTTTTATAACTTCTGTAGAGACAATGTCTCTCAGGTTCCGAATTGCGTAGTTTTCACTGCCAACTTTTACACATAAACTGTCGATATGTGCCTCCCATGTTAGCTCTTGATCCAGAATTATTCCTAAAAATCTAGCTACCTCACAGTATTCCAGAGTTTCACCACACATATTGATGTTGTTCATTAGATCTGGGTTTGAGGTACCGTTTTTGGGTGAGAAATTGATAAATTTGTTTTTCTTTATGTTGTAGACAAGGTCATTGTTGCTACAGTATTTACTGAATTCATCGCATGCATAATTACCCCAGTATGTCTAAGTTTTTATGGGCTAGAAGTATGCAGTGTGCCTCACTTCTGATGGAAACACCCCTGTATCTTTCGTAATTGTTTAGTTAGGATTCTGAAATTTACAGGAGCAGGAGATATAATGAGAATACACACTATAACCGAGTGGTGTCATCTTCAGTTATATACACTGCTCACCAACAGCCATGGAACCACCCACATTTCCGTAAAATGATATTAGGAGTCAAGATAGGTCGAAAATCCCTTCGGATTCGAAATCAGGACGTCCAATTATTAACTATTTATATTTCTCCTGAAAAAATGTTCAGTTCTGAAAAATCAAATTTTGTCTCAGTTTTCATGGAAGTACCCCCGTATCTTACGTAATTATTGAGGTAGGGTTCTGAAATTTGCAGGGGAAAAGGAGGGGCTAAAGATCACGCCGATCACATAAGATACGGGGGTACTTCCATTGAAAGTGAGGCAACATTTGATTTTTCAGAACTGAAAAATGTTCAGGAAAGATATAAAAAACCAGTGAACTGGACGTCAGGATTACGAATCCAATACCTCGCCTCCTAATATCATTTTCCGGAAATGTGGGTGGTTCCATGGCTGTTGGCGAGCAGTGTATTTTAGTGAAGATGACTTCACTGGGTTATAGTGCGTATTTTCAGTATACCTCTCGCTCCTGCAAATTTCAGAATCCTAATTCAACAATTATCAAAGATACAGGGGTGTTTCCATTAGAAGTGAGACACACTGTATTTGTCATCAGCGTTAAGTACCATTCTACCAATGAGGAAGCGCAATACACAAACGACAACACAGTATGTAAGTACCCAATATTCAACAGTCGACATACAGAAACGAAAAAAATGTTTTCGATAATCAACAAATATATTCCAACCAATCAGATGTTACGTTTTTCGTTTATTCTCTATCAGTTAAGGTATCCAAATCGTTAATAGCCTTATCCATGACAAAGTCAAATCACCGGGTATATCAAAATCGCGATATTGGAACCCGTTCAGATATAGGTTTTACGGGGCTGAAAAAAAAATGATAAAAGCCCGGCAATTCGTTCGAAGACGATAGCGAAAAAATTATAGAGGAGTACGATCCAGATAGGTATCGGCCTAATTTCGGGTTATCAAATTGAAATTACGTGTTTAACGGATATTTTCCCGACTTGGTCTATTGGGGGTATTTGCGTCTTGTAGAAGAGTCACTGAAGAAAGTGAAGTGTGATACCTTGTTGCAAGTTTGAAATATTTTGGATATATAATATCTCGGATTTTGTTCGAAGTAGCTTCCCATACATCTCCGTCAGTGTTAGGGTTTCGGAATTGGGGGGTTAGTTATAACAATTATTATTAGAAGATTAGTATTTTGAATTTTTCTGATTAATAATCAATTATTTTCTCGAAAGCATTCGTGTTTATATCACGGTTTAACTTTTTTTAGATGTTTTGGTTAGGCCGCATTGTTCTATAGCGAACCTACCGGCGTATCACAATTTTGGGACGGTGTTTAAAACTACATAGATCGTATATCCGAGTGCTGAGCGATCGAATTGGAAAATCGACAAACTAGCAGCTGTCGTGGTCGGTGTTGTAGACCTTTTTCATCCTTATGTCGCTGGGACATAGCAACTAAAACGGAAATTTCGATCGAGTTTAATGTGGACACATCGTACCAAGGAATTGTTGATAAGTACCTCATAGAGGATTCTATTTTATGGATTTTCGTTACAAAAGCAATAAGGGACTATTATTTGATAGGTTTACTGTGCTGGGAATTTGATTTTGTATGGTATTATTGTTGTGTTGGAAAGTTCAGTGTTCAATAATTATCGATGATAAATATGAGTTCATGAGATTTATGATTTAGATTAGGGTTTAAGTGCATATTACGTGTTCGAGTTGGCGAATGACGTTATTTTCTCGATCATTCAACTGTTCGCGCACCGAAATTTAGGTTAAGTTTAGATTTAGTTTCATAATCAACATTTATATTCATGAATCAATTGCATCGCTTATATTAAAACAAGTTTCTCCATATCTTCAAATATTCATTAAATTCTAATAACGGCGCATTACTTATG